TTAACTGCTATATAATACTGTATGTCATCACTTTGTTGATACGGCATATAGCAACCATAGGTATTACAGTAAGAATTGCTCAGATTAATGAAGAATGACCTTCGATGAAACCAAGCAAAGTGCAGCGGTGATGGAATGAAAATTGGCTTCAGTATGCAACAATCCAACACCACACACCATCTCTCCTGCCCTGAAGGACTGTTGTGACAGATGGAGCCCAAAGTCATGGACCAAATGAACTCAACAGACATTTTAGAGGGATGGTCCATAGACTAAGGGAATGCTATCTGTGTGTATATATCAAAAGATAGGGAAAGTGGTAGTGATTAACTGGAATGTATTGGAAAGGATATGACCTGGGCTTGACATTGATGGTATGGAATAAGGGGTGGATGCTGTCCTGGTTTCGGCTGAGATAGAGTTAATTTTCTTCCTAGTAGCTGGTATAGTGCTGTGGTTTGGATTTCGGATGAGAATAATGTTGATAACACACTGATGTTTTAGTTGTTGTTGAGGAGTGCTTACACAAAGTCAAGGACTTTTCAGCTTCCCATGCTCTGCCAGGTGGTCAGTAAGCTGGGAGGGGGCACGGCGAAGACAGGTGATCCAAAGTGGCCAAAGGGCTATTCCGTACCATATGACATCATGCTCAGTATAGAAACTGGGGGGAGTTGGTCAGGGGGCAGTGGTCACTGCTCGGGGATGGGGCTGGGCATTGGTCAGCGGTGGGTGGTGAGCAATTGCATTGTGCATCACTTGTTTTATTTATTGTATTATTATTTTATTTTACTTTTTTCCCCTATTTTCTCCCCCATCCCACGGGGCGGGGGGCGGGGAGGAAGGTGAGTGAGCAGCCATGTGGTGCTTAGTTGCCGTCTGGGGTTAAACCATGACATAGGTGAATGGCTGTGGGACCATACGATGCTAATGTTCCAGTCTTGCAATTGGAGCGTCTGTGTAGCTCCAACTGAAGTATCAGTTATAGTAGTGGCTCAACTGCCTGTTGTCAGTAGGGAGACTTCAAAGGGATAAGTCAGGCTTTTTCCAGAGTCCATGCTATGCATTTCTCTTTGTTCTTTGCTGTGTATATTTTTGTAGCTTTCTACTTACTTTATAGGAAAAAATAAAACTAGAGCTAGACAAAATTTGACCATATGCTATTTTAAAAAAAATGGTGCAAATCTCCACAATTCTATGGCTTTCTCTGTCCTCCCAGGACTTGTCTGTCTGTGAGCTGGCTGTGCTGTTTGGCAGTAAAAAAAATTGTGGTTTTTTTTGTTTGGTTGTTTTTTTTTAATCAGCTTTGGAATGGAGCTGCTCTCTGAATCTGATGTTCTGAACATCATAAAGAACATTGATCCTCGTCTCACAGTATATGGGGTTGTGAAATTGGAGAAGCAGGATCTCTGCTTAATTTACCTCAAAGGAAAATACAGAACAACACCTCACCCAAACCAGGCTTTGTCATCATATTTGTGATGCCCGTCTCATGTGTTCAAAGAAATTTCCCCTCTTAAAAGAAGGCTGGATTGTACCTTTTATGCACTATGTAGGAATGCATATGTAGATCTGAAATTATGTAGATATTTGTTTTGTAAAGTGCTCCTAAGGCTTCTGAGAGGGAATAAAATGTAAATGAAGTGAACAGAGGGAAAAACAAATTGACCAGTTTTTATACTGGCATATATTATGTAAATTCTGTGGTACAGGTCTTTCAGCATGTGCCAGTGCTGACAGTCAGGATGCTTGGCTGTTCCAGACTATTTAAAACATTTCTTGTTACATCTAAAGCACAAGAACTGTTTTCTCGCGTAATGAAAGTGTTCAATGTAAATATTATTGCAATGCAGAAAATAAGTGTTTGTCATATTTTTTTCTAATAGATTTTTTTAAAATAAGATTGTGAATTTTTCTTTCTACAACCCTGTTTTCTGAATAGCCTAATTTATGTAACAGGAACTTGAGATGTAAAACAAGTATTTCTGATCACTGAAGACGAGTGTTAACACTACTGCTAATCCTGATACTGCTAAAGTTTCTGATTTCTTCCTAGAGTTCATAAGATGTATTCACAGAGGCTGACTTTTGTCTAGGGCAGTTAATCTCCTTTGGCTACTCCTCTAATTCCTTAGAGAAGAGAGGTGTCTTCAGTTCCACTGACAGTAGAAGCAACCTAGGGAGATTACTAGATTGAAACTGGTTTTTTTTGGGAACAGCTCTGCAGTTGAAGATATGCTTAGGTAATGTTCCTCCTCTTCAGAGCACTTCACAAATTAATTGTCTTCTCACGCTAATAAAATGGTGGTAATGCATTTAAAAATGTCTTCCAACTGCAAAGCAAATGGCAACCCCTCTCTACTTCTGTGAATGTAAGGAATTGCCTTTGAAAAATATTCTTACGTTTTGAAATGTTTCGTACTTCATTCTGCTTTTCAGAAAGGGAGGAAAGAAATCATGCTGGGTTGCTTTTGTGCAGGTTCAGAACCTAAAAGTTTAGGTTAATGCTTTTTAAAATTAAAAATCAAGGTAGTATTTTTGTAAGATTATTGTCTTGAAGGAAGGTGATAGTTGCGATGGTTTAATTGGGAGGTATGTTTCATGATTTCATTATTAAAAATCATGATTAGGAAGTCAAAGCATTGAGTACCTTAATCTAGGAATAAATTCTGTTCTCAAGTAGAAATCTCTTTTCTTGAGTAAAGAAACTTTCAGACTTGCATAGTTTTGTCAGGGTAGATGAGACATTTTTATACAGCTTTAATGTAGGCACTTTTGTCTATCTCATTCTAAAAACCTTCCTCCATTAACTGCCTCCTAGGCTTTTTTGTTTTCAACAAAAGCAAAGTTCTGGTGGATTCCTTTTCTAACTGGCATCTTTTAAAGGGGAGCCCCCAAATCTCTAAAGCATACAAATTATGATACTGTGTATTCACGTGGTTATGGTATAAATGTTTTTCTGACTTTTTTTCCTTTTTAAAACCTGAGGAGACTTTCAAGACTTAATTAAAAAAATTGAAATTGTTATTAAGACAACAAAGCTTGCAGGGATAAGTAATATATTCTGTTAGACTTCCAGAGATAGGGGGAAAGCAAGAAATATTCCTTTGGAAGTTTACCCTTTTTCCTGAGTTATGCCAGTTTGCTTAATATATATTTTTCTTTACAAACATTGCCTTGTTTATGTCCTTAGATGATCACAACGGTGGTTGTATTAGATGCAGGCATGACAAACTAAGTTTTATTCACTTCCTTTATCTTAGTACAAGTCTCTGGGTTTTTTTGCCTGGTTAGTGTTACGATTTAAACATTTCTGTTTAGGAATTGTCTTTGGAAAGAAGGAAAGGGGAAAGGCAGAAGGGACTCTGAACTCTGAAGGGCTTTCTGAATTATTTTGAGTCGCTTCCATGTGTGAAAAGTGTATAGGGACTCTTAACATCTTACCGTAGATGAGATCTGTAATGTATTGAAGACTGCATTTGTGTGTGACTTTGCTATATATTTTTGCTATTGTATGTCTTAATGTCATTTTCTATGTTGCAGGCTGAGTATGTCCAGCTTGTCACAGAGCTTAGAATGACAAGAGCCATTCAGCCTCAGATAAATGCCTTTTTACAAGGCTTCCATATGTTCATTCCGCCATCTTTGATACAGCTTTTTGATGAATATGAACTGGTAAGCAGAAATGCCTATACTTTTTAAAATCCTTTGTTCAGCATACTTCGTCAGTGGCGTAATGACGTAGAAGTAAAGCTCAGTACCCACAAAATAAACATTTTGTATCTTTCACTTTGGTTTTGCTTCCTGGGCATCTATCAGTGAGGATCTCAGTATATGTATTCCTGCTTATCCTAATTACTTAGAATGACCATCTTCCTGGAATGTGATAACTTCATGTGCCAGTGATAAATGTCTTAAACTGTAATTCCAAAATAGAATCAGGATGTTGTGGCGTTTAAGCCTTTTCATATTTTCTTTCCGGAGAACAGAAATTCTTTAAAAGTAAGGAGATGCTGTCTTTTACTTTTTCTGAGTCATGGAATCAAATTCCAATAAGTTTTTTGTGGTGGTTTGATCTTCTGTAACCAGCACATCTCAAGTTTTGTCTCAAGTCATGCCAAAACTCAGAGCTTTTTTTCTTTTAGCTTCTTTGGCAATAATTTCTCTCTCTTGATACTGTGTACTTAAATTAAACAGATCATATGAAGTTACCTGAATTCAAGAATCTTCTTGTATTAAAAATCATAGTTTCTGTAAGGTTGCAACTGAACAGAAAAAGCACTGCAATTTTTATACTACTTAAAGCATTACTTTTAAAAATAGCATAAACGCTTGAAATTAATGGTCACTCAGGAGGACTAATTACAATCTGTATGCTTCTGAAGGAGCTGTTGTTGTCTGGAATGCCAGAAATTGATGTGAATGATTGGTTAAAAAATACAGAATACACCAGTGGCTATGAGAGAGGAGACCAAGTTATTCAGGTAAAATTTTTTTAAATAATGTAGACTATTGCATTTTAATCCAAAAAAAGGTGGTGGTGCTGCTGCTGTAATTTCCTGCGTGTGTTTATGGAAGCTTATTTCGGCTGAAATTTGTGGAGGTTTTTTATACTATATTGCTATATGAAGTGACTTAGTTATATATGTATTTCATACGAAAACTTCCATCCCTTAAGTAACAAACACACTAATATTCCATTTATTGTTTTACCATTATCTTTTCGAGTACTACAAGTATTTCATGGAAAATACAAACTAACTTATTTTTCATTTAGTGGTTCTGGGATGTTGTGGAAGAACTAACTCAGGAAGAGAGAGTATTACTATTACAATTCGTTACTGGCAGGTGAGAACCTTCTGTAACAACAAATATATTGTCTGGATACTCTGAAATAAGTCAAGAGACTTCAGATTACCATACAAGATCACCTAACTAGAAACTATTTTGCATACTTCAGTGTTCTATATGTTGATCAAAGTAGACAAAGTGTGTGTTAATACTTTTGCTGCCTGTATTGCCAGCAAAATGATTGATTACTTATTTATTATACTTGACTACTTTGCAAGAGGCCTTTGCTGCTGTCCCAGGCAATTTTTAGCAAGGCAGTAGTGAATTTAACTGTGCTTTATATTCTTCTTCCTGTTGCATATTTATGGGGCTCTTAGCTTCTCCAGTAATCGATATAGGCTTTAATATATGAGATAACTAGGTATCACTTCAGTCAGTGTAAACAGAATATCCTTCTCCTAAAGCTGAGTTGAATTTAACATTAGTGCAGTGTGTCAAGATCAAGTGAAGATGTAACCTTATGCAAGACTCTGCTTTATATAGGATTTCTGTCCTAAATTCTAGTTGTTCTTCAGGGAAAGCCACTTTTATTTCCTTTATGGTTTGGGGGCAGTGAAGGAAGGTTTTGAGCAATAAATGCCCCTGTGAGCTGGGTGAGTTGCCGAGTTTGTGTATACAGACATTTTGCAAAGTGGATCCATAGATATACATGTGGCACCTGAGCTGTGTAATCCATGTCTTTTTCTGGTGGCAAGTGGAAATCGCACAGTCTTAATTTGATGTTCCCTTCATGTTCTAGGATTAATAGAGTAGTTGACCTTGTTTATAAGTTTTGTGATTAAGTAATGGTAAAACGCAAATTAAGATAATCAAATCTTGTCTTTTATACCAAGGAATTTTGCAGTCACAGATGTATCATCAAATGGCATGATCTTCAAATTCTATTAGTTTCACTCGATTTATTATGAATTTTGTTGGTTTTAGGGATCACAGACAATTTAAGAAGCTAGTTTTGTGCACATCGATCTTTTCTTTTTGTCCTCTGCAGAAATGATTCTTGCAGTTCTAACTGCACATCTGTTGCACACCAGCTGCTGGTCTTTCATTTTTAGTGGACTAGTCCATTTCTAAATCTAGATGGCAAATAAGGATCTTTAAGATGTAAGGTCATGTTTCAAATGCTTCTTAAAACATTCCAAATGGTATTGAAGTGGCATTCACTATTTTCATGGCATTTGGGATAATCTACTGGATTCTAAGGGATGCTTTCTATCAAGTAAACAATTATGTTGTCCGATTAATACGTGCTTGAGCACCATTCATTTTGGTCGCAAATCACATACTGGCTTGTTCTTACCCATTTCTTGTTAGTAGGAAAGAAATTTTTGGTATGTCTTTTAAGAACTCTGGGTGGGAATTTAAAAACAAATTGCTTAGTTTTTTTTCTCTATCAGCTACTAGGAACCTGTTGTGGTTTTTTCTTCAGTCATTGAAATGTAATAGGTATATTTTTCCATAAAAATTTAACCTTTGAAAGTTACCTCCAATAGTGGTATGCAGCTGGCATTTTTGTACATAAATCCCCAGACAGTCCTAGTATCTGGGCATGGAAGATTTAGATGCTGAGTTGTCTGTGAGCTAAAACACCAGTTAGTGTAGTACAGGCCAGTATCTTAAGTAAAATTGTACACTAAAAGTACACCTGATTTCAAACTATGATCTTTTTCTGACGTCACGTTTCCTGAAGAATTTGTTTCTGTGTGTAGTGGTTGGCTGACTGCATTCAAAATTTTCATTTTTTTTTTCCATTTCCCTTTAATCTCTTCTGCATATTCACTTATTTGGTTTGGTTTTTCTATTTTTTTTTTTGTTGTGCATGTGAAGTGGCATTATTCTTTCTTTCCAGTCAAATACTATGAAATTAATTTAGTGAATTAAATAAAACAATTATATTTATGATTGTCTTCAGTGTTTCTCTGACATCTCTAAATATTTCTTAAACTTTGCCTTTTGTCTTTTTCCCCCATTTTCTCTTCAATGTCATGAAGTCTTGCTTTGGTAGTTTCAGTGGAGATACCATTGCATTCATCATTAATACCAATTTTGAGACATCTTTTAACAGTAAAGTAATTGTGAGTAATGTTTGAGTAGCAGATTCTGTGTGTTTGGAGGTCTTGGCACACTGAAGAAAAAGCCTAAATATTCTTGTGCCTCATGTTGGGGATCTGAAAGTTTACATGTGCACCACCTACTTTTTCTCTGCTGGCAGCTGCTGGAGATGGTATTGCCAGTTCCACGTGCTTTTACTTTTTTTTTCCCTCCTCTTGATCTGGTTGGTGTTTATAATAGTATGGGGCTAAATTATTGTTAATTATCCGTTGGCAACTTTTGATCAGGTTTTTAGTTAACAGTTGGAGGGAAGTGTTGACAGCTTATGATAAATTCTACTTTATTGGTATTCTGCAGGTATCAGGATTGCCGTTTAACTTCTTACGGGACTGTAGTTTCTGTTGAGTAATAAGCTATATGCCGTTTTAAGGGAATTTCAGCATATTTGATAAATGTGATATATATGACTACTTTAAAAGTAAAACAAAACATAAGGGAACTGGCTTAAAGTATCTCTTCTACGCTGTTTTCATTTCAAGTAAATTTATGCAAAATCTATATGTGAAAAAATAGGTAGAAAAGTTAGGATTCAGATGTATACTTAAATGTTTTAAGTGTTGAAGTTTCCAAAGCTGTAAGATCATATTGTCGCTCTTGCTGAAGGCTATTTGCACATGCAGTAAGAGGTAAGATCTTGTGATCTTATTTGCAACATATTTGGAAGGCTTTCTTTACTATATTGGCTGTGTTTTGCTTGGAAAGAAAACTCATTCTTGGAGGCATAAGTTGGCAGCCATCTGTTACTTTTAAATGTTCAATGACCTCATCATACTATACGATTTTGACCTGTTGTATGAAAAACAATAATAAGTTAAATTGTAAAAACTTCTAGCTAATAGTGGGCTGAATGAGAAATTTTCAACAGTTAGGTCTGTGTCTTATTTCTGATTTGAATGAGGAATTCTCTTGGTTTATCAGAGGAAAAAAAACGAGTCACTGCAGTGGAGGCAGCATTGTATTAGAAATGCGAGCCAAAACCATAGTATAAAAGAGTACTGCTGTAAAATCTTTACAACTGTTCTGAACTGTGGCTGTGAGCACAATTCCCTTTGTATGTCAGAAATAGTATGCTGCAAATAATCAGTGCTTCCCTCCGTAGTGGTTGCCTTATATACTAGTGCTAGAACTATATGCCCAACATTGCTGTCATTAAGCTGGGTGATACAGATTTATATGTTGGATATTATGGCTAGCTCTTAAAGGTATGTTTAAAAAGTATTACTGTGAGCTCTGTCCTAGCTCCTTAACATTTGGCAGTAGCAACCCTTACTCTTTTGCATTTCTGCCAGGTGATTTTACTATGAGTGGAAACATTACATCATTCTTCTTTTCCGTTCTTGCTCCTGGTTTTTACAGTCACTTTGATTTTGTGAATATGGGAGCATTGTTTTTAACACAAGTACCTGTAATCCAAAATTCTAACAGCTGTTATGTATTTTATGGAAGGTTTATTTTGTTTTATCTGGTTGTTTTGCTTGCTACAAAATCTCAGAATAGCTGAGGTTGGAAGGGACCTCTGGGTACTGTCTAGTCCAACCCCATGCTCAGAGCAGGATCAGCTAGAGCTGGATGCTCAAGGTCTTGTCCAGTCAGGTTTTGACTGTCTCCAGGGGTGCTGACCCCTCAGCTTCTCTGGGCAACTTGTTCCAGTGTTTGACGCCCTCACAGTAAAAAGAGTTTTTCTCATGTTTAAATGGAATTTCCTGGATTTCAGTTTGTGCTCATTGCCTCCTGTCCTGTCACTAGGCACCACTGGGTGCTCCATCTTGAGACTTGTGCTCCTTCTTATTTATTCCTTCCTTCAGGTAATTATATCCATTGATCTGATTCCCTTGAGCCTTCTCTTCTCCAGGCTGAATAGTCCCAGCTCAGTCTCCTCCTGTGTCAGGTGCTCCAATCCCTTACCATCTTTGTGGCCCTTTGCTTGACTTGCTGCAGTATGTCCCTGTCCCTCCTGTAGCGAGGAGCTTGGAGCTGGACTCCAGATGTTTCTTACAGAGTACAGGGAAAGGGTCACCTCCCTCAGCCTGCTGGTGACGTTCTTCCTGATGCAGCCCAGGAGGCTGCTGGCCTTCCTTCTTTGATGCAAGGATGCATTGCTGACTCACATTGAACTTCTTTAGTCCTTATGCTTTCATTATAGTTTTTTGAAAAAAATTTTTTCTGATGTGAGGGCTGTGCTAACAACGTTACCTTGTAATGCATACCAACTTCAGTTGATGTTATAAAAGTATCTGAACCTTATTCTATTTGTCTCTTAGTTTAAAATTATAGGGAGAGGCTCTGAAGACTCTAGGGCTGTTGTCCGTTTACACCTTGAATAAACTTTGAATAATATATTGGTAAAAGGAAAAAAATTATGAGTAATATGATTAAGTGAGAACACATTCCTGACAATGCTAGTGATTATTTTTTTTTTTAGCGTGTTCTGGTTTTGCCATAGGTTGTTACTGGGTGATAGTGTGACTGATGTAATGGTTTCATTAGTTACTTGAAATATTTGGTCTGAAGTAGTAAATGAAAAGACATGTCAAGAGCACTCTGGTCAGTTGTCCCACAGATAGTAATTGGAGAATAAACCTTTTTATGATGCAGTGTTTCTTAAACTGTAAATATAAGTAACCATAGATGTTTCCCTAAACTCAGATAATGTTTTGGTATAAAAGCTGGTTGTAGAAATGAGTCCTCTTTCCAAACAGAATTCTCTTAAATATCATTCAAACAATTTGATGCCTAATGTAAATGGACAAGTGTGTTACTCAATATTGTAATTAAAAGCATTTAGGCAGTGAGAATTTTGATATGAGTAAGAAAGGGGGAACCTTGATAAAAGTATTAGTAACTGTCTAATGTAAAGATGTTTGTAGTGTAGAGATTATATTTTTTGGCTTATAACATTCTTGTAATGGTCTAATTTCTGTGAATTTTCTCAGTTCCAGGGTGCCTCATGGTGGCTTTGCCCATATAATGGGTGGCAGCGGATTGCAAAATTTTACAATTGCTGCTGTGCCGTATACTGCAAATCTTTTACCAACATCAAGCACATGGTATGTTAACTAGTCTAATTGAAGTGTCTTAAAAAGAGAGCTTTTTCATGTCAGTTCCAGTCAAAAGTACAGTTCTTATGACTATTTTCATTAAAAGGTCAAAAAAAACTTTAAACAGTTTGTGGAGCATTCACTATCCAACGTGAAAGTGATGGGTTTTAATGCAGATTATGTTACATTGTGTTTGCTCATTGTTCACTACTTTATTTTGCTTTACTGAAGGCAGTGGGGTTAATACGGGAATATTAAATTGTTGTATTACAATTTACTGAAGTGAAAAAAACCTTAATTTCCTGCAATATATTTGAATGCTCAGTGGTACTGTAGTGTAGCACAGGTTTGTTTTCTTCCATAAATGTGACATCTTCAGCATTTTCATTCAGAAAACTTTACTGTTGGGTTTCTTGCTGAACTGTGGTGTGGCATTTTTTTCCTTTTCTTTCCAGTATCAACATGCTCAAGTTACCTGAATACCCAAGTAAAGAAATCCTTAAGGACAGGCTTCTGGTGGCATTGCACTGTGGAAGTTATGGTTACACAATGGCATAACGAAGTCTAGAAAACTCACCTGACTACTGATGTGCAATTCAGAGTGGCACAAGTAATTTTGGAAACTGTCAATAGAAAAGCAGCTTAGAAGCTGCAGCCCACTGGCAGGGCTGGACTTCAGAATTCATACAGAATCATCAACTTTACTTCCATTATGTGTTGTCAAAATAACTAATACCATCGCAACAAACTTCACAGTATGCTGTATTTTCTTTTTTTTTTTTTAAATGACAGATCTGAATGGAAATCAGTTTACATGCTTTTCCTTATTGCTTCAGTCTGAATCAGAAAGTTTGTCAGAATCTCTTACCACGCTTTACTTTGATTTTTCAGCTGTATGGTTGAATGACATTTGTGTTTTAGTTTACCTTGCAGTCAGATGGCATACTGCTAATGGACAGACTTGTACTTTATGCCTTGTGCATGTGAAAGTGCCATTTATTTTTGCAGAGAACACTATAGAAAGTTCAATTTGGATATTGTACAGTAAGACAGACAGTATTTTCCATTTCTTTGCATAGTAACAGAAATAAAATTTTATAACTTTTTAGTATTCTAATGTATATAGCATGTAAAGATTAGACTGTTATCGCTGGAAAAAATAACAGATGAAGTTAATATCTAATTTATATTAGAATTTACACTATATTCTACTAAATATTTAAAGTATTTGTGACTTTATAGTCAACTTGCTGTTTAGAATTTGTAAATATTATTTAAGATATATATCCATTTGTTTGAATGCCTTTACTATTTCCTTGACATAATTGTATGTTCAAAAGGTATTATTAAATTTTAATATTTTTACCAGAATCTCAATGTGACAAGTTTGTGTGTCTTTGTGGGTGGTTTATTCTTTTTTTCCCCCAGCATGTTATTCATCTTACTATAATTTAAATTGTCATGGAAGCAGCATTTGAGAGGGCATTGTCAAAGTGTATGGACGGACATAGGCAAATGCACAGGGAAGGAACTTGAGCTTATTGAGGTTAACTGGCAAGACTATAACAATTAGAATATCATGTCAAAATTTATATAGAACTAGAATATATTACTTAAATAATATGTAAAAATAGACAGCAATGGCTCATCAGCATGTGTTTGATAAGTAGCTTCACATGTTGGGGTAGATGATGCATTTGCATAACTGCTTTTTGGGGACCCTAGGGTAGGTCTACATTATTGTTTTGGTTCAGGCTGGGAGTGGTGGTGTGTGTGGTTTTTTGTTTGTTTTTTTTCTTTAAATTAATCTGGTCATCCCTGTTTGTCATGCTTTTGCTTCAGAGAATGCAAACTGGATTCTCTCCATGTGAAACTAAACAGAAAAACATGATCCAAAAATGTGCCAAATGCTACTGGATGAACATCTAATTATGTCTGCAAGACCTAACTGAAGAGGTGATCTGAAGCGTTAATAAATGAGTTCAGGCATAGTGAACCCCCCAAACATGTAAATTTTAAGGTTCAGATCCTCAGCACAAACTGTTTGCTACTAATCCATTGACATTTTCCTACACGAAGTGCTGATACATGTGTAGCCTGAGTTCAGCAGCTGATCTGTCTAGGCTGCCTACTTGGTGCTGTTTTTTTCAGGTTCTGTTTGTTTATTTTAGTCTAAAGCACACATAACCTCTCTGGGGGTGTGAGAGGGAAATATGTGGACCATCTGATTTAGTGGTGCCACAGTAATTTTCCCTTGGGCTAAGCTTTATACATAGACTTAGTAGCTTTATTTCCCTTCCAGTTCTGTTTGTGCACATGTATGCATAAATTTTCGTTTAAATTCTTATGCAGTGTTTGTGACTGCAACTTATAGGACAATACCGCTTTTAGTTAGCAGAAAGAGCAGACTCTTCCAGCAGGGCAATCTGGTGAAAGCTGGTTAAACTATTCGTTCAGTCAGTGGAAAGATGCTGTTCCTCTCTGGCATGCTCTAGGAAGCTTAGACTATTTAGATAGGTTAGATGTTTGAGGCTGTAGGGGGTTTTAGCGTTAAATCCCAGTTATCTTGCATCCTTCAGTTAGCAAAAATACTTCGCTTTTCTGCACAGTTGGGCAGTGCTTGGTTCCCTGGTTGCATAGCTTATTTGTGAGCCTCTGCAAGGCAGATTGATTGCAGGACAGTGTTTTGAGCAATACAACGTATTTCTCGGGAATTATGTATTTCTGTTTTCTTCATGTAAACTGGGATTTTATCTTTATCCGAGGGTTTTGCTGTGAATACTGTTGTTCATTAACTACTATGCAATCTGATTTTTTTTTTTCTTTTTTCATTTCACATGTTCTGTTTCACAGTAATACACAGTGGTTTGCAGGAAACGGAAACCTTGCATACTGCTGTGTAGCGTCCAAAACATGTCATACCATAGGGCTGAGTAAAGGGGGAAAATGAATCAATTTTTTTTCTTTTCTTTGCACTTATACTTTTGTGTTATACTGTAGGTGACATAAGTATCAAGAAGCTGAATTTGGTCTCAAATGGTATTCCTAAAATGCTTGGCAAGTGGTTTTGAAATGTAACGGAGTGCAGAATTTTAATGTTCTCAAGGGTTCCCTATGACAGATCTCCTGTTACAGCCTCACAAATGGTTCAGAAGCAGATTACTCCTTCCTCCCCCATACTAATGTTAGCTGTGTCCCATATGAAGTATCTTGTAGTATTTCTTGTAATGTTTGTACCAAGTACTCCCTTGATAGGTCAGAATGAAATTTTGTTAAAATACTCCTGTAATAAAAAAAGCATGATGAAAATACGGAGAGAATGGGAATAGAGCTCTTGCTGTTATACCAAGAGTCCAGTATCAACCTTGTTAGTGCTCATTTTGAACAGGTTTTTTTCCTGCTGAAGTACTGTCTGCTACAGTTGACCATGTGAAGTTAGCAGGATTTAATTATTGCATTGAAAGACTGTTTTTAGGACACCTGTGCCCTATTAGCAATGGGGTATGAAAAGCCTGTTGAGGAACTATAACTTAATATAGCTTATAGTTTAGAATGATTAATTAGTTTATATTTGTTCTCTCCCACTGTGCCAGAACAAGGCAGGGTGAGTGTTTTCTCTCGGAAAGAACAGAACAGATGTCTTGTCAGATCATAGATCATGAGCGCTCATTAACTTTTATTATCTTTATGAAATGTTAGATAGCAAAGCCTAGGTTTTGATGCTTGAAAATGTGTTGTGCATCTAATGTTGCAAAACCATTAAAACCATAAACTGTGAAATATAGCTTAATGACTTCTACTGTATGTTCCATAGTCAATAAGATTGAAAATGGAATGAGCGCGAGAAGGTGCTTGGCCTGAATTTTCCAGAGACTTGGAGACTTCCACATGTACAGTAGAAAAATATTAGGACTACCTATGCTTTGGAACTGTGTGAACTCTCTGTTTAAGAGTATAAACTCAAAATTGTAGTTTTAGTTTAGTTGGACTGTTCTTGAAGTCTGAGCTTATTCAGCTCTGCAACTACAGCTCAATAGTACCTCAAAAAAGCCTTGCTCTTCCCCTTCCAGACCTGAGCAGGAGTGTAAGCTCTCTTCAGTGATGTCCAACCTGGATTTACAATGCATAGAGCAAGGAAGGGTGAAGAAGATTGCTCAGATTGCTTTTCTAAACCTTTTGAATAAATAAATAAAAAACCTTTTTTGTCCCTCACAATATACAGACAAGCACTACTCCATAGGTGTTCCTCCAAGTCTTAACGTGTAGGTAATTTTCCAGTAATACTTCTATGGCGTTGCACAGGAATTGGGTGTAGAAACTGAACCAAGCAATTGTCATTCCTTTTGTACACGTAGTTGGTTGATCTTTCACTCTGAAGCAGTCTTTGCAGTTCTGCTCCCTGGACACAAGAGGTCCTTTGCTGTTCAGGCAGTGAAATTCTCTTGCTGGCACTGCTTGCTTCCATTCCTCCCAGTGCCCTCTCCCAGACAGGCATCTGTGGCTGAAAAGCAAAATCCAGAGTTCCTTCAATGATCAAGACTTAATTTTTTTTTAAGTGATTGAATCTAAAGAATGCAGCTGCTGAATGCTGCCAACAGGATTAACTATTTTTGTAAGAATGCTATTTTAGTTCTTTGTGCGAGTTCTTCTTGGTGTTATTTAAATACAGTTTCTGAGTTCTGGATTCGTGGTTCAGTAAAGACCCTGGCTTTGGTTATGCTTGGTTGTTATCTAGAGTAACCTTGAATTCATTGCAGTGTACTACTGCTGATTGTGTGTCAGCAAATCTTGACAAAAGGCAAATTTATCAATTGATAAATTTTTCATGTTTCTTCTAGAATTAAAAAAAAAAGGCCCATCATAATCAAAAGTCTTGCTAAGAGCACCCACTCACCATTTTAAAGATCTTCTAAATAACTACTTATTATAAAATATTCTATTAAAGAAATGTTTCAAGCAATCATGAAAATACTGAAGGATATTGAAAAGGTACTCTAGCATATCCCACTTTCTAATACAACTTTTGTGTTGATAATTTCAAAAAGTCCAGTGAATTCACAAGGGAATTTTTTTTTTTTTAGGCACCTTAATGAAGAAGGAAGACAGCTAGTGAGTTAAGGAATGCCTTATCTTAATACCTTGTTCCTCTTGTAACACCACCGCAGTCTCCAGAGTGGAGACAATATTCACCTTAAAGGGTTTATAATCTGTAAAGATAGGGGTGTCCTGCTGTGATTCTCTTTTTTTTTTTTTTTTTTTTTTTTTTTTTTCTCCCTTCACCCGAGTTGCCCTTTTGCTTCTGTACTGTAGCTTTTGAGGAATGGTTTTCATCTGTGGAGAAAAGGCAAGAGAGGAGTAGTGCTTCCTGGCTTAGCAATGGGGGAAGCAGAGGAGAAAGTCGAGATCAAATACAGTAATGCTGGTAGTTTAAGAAGGAAGGCTTCTTCCATCAGGTCTGATAGCTGACTAATGCTGGCAGACCAGAGTGGAAAGCAGGACTTCTTCAGGGTTTTTCTCTCTTTTTTCCCCATCTTACATACTTCTCTTTTTATGCATGTTAAAACAGAAGTTGGTTTGTGATTCAGGTCAACCTCAAGTCTCTTGAGTAATCAACAGAGAATGTGAGGAGGAAAAGAAGACAGGATAGCTTCCAGAAGAAATCTGAGCTGGTGTCAGTAGATAATGCACAGGAATAGCTGTTTGCCTGGGAACCTTTACACTATTTAATCCCTACTTCTGACGCAAGATTATTTTCTAGGAGCCACTCTTTCTACAGAAAGTCTTTCTAGAGTGGGTGCTTTAGGAAGCCAAATAGCTGCAGTGTTAAATTGAACATACTGCTTTATTGACTGCCGTTCTGGTATCCTCTGTTCCAGGTAGTAGGTAATCAGTTCCCTTTGCAGAAATCGGAAAACAAAGATGGCACTATCTCTATGGGAATTTTTCTTGCATGTCGGAAAGAATGCTTGAAGAAAACTATCTGATACATACGAACTGTGGTAAGAGGAAATGGATGACCCTGTCTTAATTCTTACCAGGCAGGCATAGTGATCTGTGTTTAGTACCTTTTATCTCCAGCAAAAGTTTTTGGAATGTGATGCAGATGTTGAAGAGTGGAGAACAAGAAGATGTTTTCCCAAGACAGCTTTTCAGGTTTTGAAGGCTAGTTTCTTTTTCTCTACAGTTTCCATGCTATATTATATGTAATATATAACAATAAATATTTAAATAAGTATGAAGCAACAATATATATTAAATATATACATTATATAAACAGAAAGCATTTTAATCATAAAAGATATTTTTAATATATATATACACAATATTATTAGTTTTACTATAGTAAAATGCTACATATCAGAATTTTAGGA